CTTACCCAGCTGCATGCATGACAAGAAGCAACCGGATGATAACTTGAGTGACCGTCGGTATTGAATTCAGGGTTGTTCTTTATATCGTTCAGTATGTTTAATGAGCATAACCGTAGGCTTAAGAGAGGTAATAGGCTGACACAGCTGTACTCATAGGTCTCCTGAAATTGCCTCCCCCTGTTTACAAACAGCATTGGACATTAAGAAAGTGTTTTCTTTTATGACCATCTAGATAAATCCAGAACATCATTTCTTCTTAGTGAGAGCAGTGCATTGCAGTGGCGAGAGTATCAGACTAGGCCCCAGGAGACCTTGGTTCATATCACTATGTCATGGCACTCTCACTGGGTGACTTTGGGCCAGTCACTATGTCTCAACCCAATCTACCTCACAGGGTTGTTGTGAGGGTGAAATGGACTTGCCAGAGAACCACGTATGCCACCTTGGGCTCCTCGGAGGAAAGGTGTATGTGTGGGGGAGCGGGTATAAATGACATTAAATAAATAAGTGCTAAAGGGGTTGCTGTGTTAGCCAGTTGCAGTAAAAGCAACAAAGAGTATTGTAAAATAGGATGCAGAGTCTTCCCACATCCAGTCTGCACTTTGCTTTTCCATGAATGATTGAGGAGTATTTTTATTTATTTATTAAATTTGTATACCACCCTTCATCCAAAGATCACAGGGTGGTTCACATATGAAAAGACAGCAAATGTGACTTTTTTTCCTTTAGTGGAAGATTTATTAATATTTACATTTTACATTTTGAATATTTTCAGCCCATTCGTAGAGAAAATAGCCTCAGAAATGTTCACTGAACAATAAGCAGACAAATGTTAGTACAAGCTAGTTACTTTGGTCATATTCAGTTAGCCACACTGGATGGTAGACGGCCAAATGGAACAAACTTTACAGGATCAAAAAGTACATGCATGAGGCTATATAAGGAAGGTACAGTGGTACCTCGAGTTACATATGCTTCAGGTTACATACACTTCAGAATACAGACTCCGCTAACCCAGAAATAGTACCTCGGGTTAAGAACTTTGCTTCAGGATGAGAACAGAAATTGTGGCATGGCGGCAGTGGGAGGCCCCATTAGCTAAAGTGGTGCTTCAGGTTAAGAACATTTTCAGGTTAAGAACGGACCTCTGGAATGAATTAAGTACGTAACCAGAGGTACCATTGTACATTTCAAGATAAAAGATACCTGTGCTTCCACAAATCTGCTTCGACGTTAGTTTTAGAGCCAAGTATTTTGTTAATGTGGATAACAAAGGAGTGGGAGGGAGAATACAGTGAAAATCATATTGAAATCATGTAATCAAGGGATCCTCTCAGGATTACCTTGGTAACCAGTATATTCAGAAAAATAGCTTTGCTGATACAGGGGTCTCAACCAGTGTTTGTGTTCCATTAGATTGGCATATCAAGGTTAAATTTGGGACTGCAGTCCTTTCGTGTTCTGTATTTAAAGATTGTTAGACTTGCCCTTGGGAGATTATTGGACAGAAACCGTTTATTTGAATATTTAGAGTAGGGCAAAGCCTAGAAAGTTATTCTCTTTTTGTCAGCAGACCCAGAAAGCTTTGACCTTTCTTGCATGGTAGTTGGTTTGAATAGATTCCTTGGTAGGCACTGAAACAAGTTTCCATCTTTTGCAAAATTATTTGAAAAAGAGAGTGCATTTTCAGGAAGTAGTGTAGTACAGTTGCTAGGACCCTCTTTTCAGATAATTTCCTAGGATAGAATCCAGGAGGAGATTGAGAATAACTCTAAGGCTCATTCATCTCTTCCCTGCCAATGGCTGAATTGAAAAATCCATTGTTTTAAGTGGGACTTACATAACTGTGAGAGAACCCATTATTAGATCTTAGGCTCTAAGCCCTTCAGAAGTGATTAGGCTGATAATTTATTTTATCTAACTGGATTTGTATACCACATGATTGAAGAAACCTTGAAGCAGTTTATTATTACTTTATGAATCAATAATTATATTCTGCCCCAAAATATAAATAAATTCAGCAGTTTAAAAAAGAGCTATATCAAGGGACTTGCATACAGAAGACCATACATGTTTCCTTGCTACCACACCTCACGACCAACACTGAAGTGGCAAGCACCATGGCTTTGTCCGTGAAGGGTTAATATGTAAAGTGTTACTTATACAAAAAGCAAGCTATGTAAACTTCAAACAGTAACCCAGTTAACTCACCCCTGTCTTAGAGGCCCCTTCCCATCTCTCATCCATCTCTCAGGTGAGGGTAGTAGCTGACAGCTAGCCAGCGTGAGAAGCCTCCTCTCTCCCAACTAACTGAACCAAAACTAAGGCTTCCAAGCAAGCAGATAAACACTTATGAGTTCATTTTTTCAGTAAATACCAATTAATCCTGGGATTATCTTGACTACCAAGTTACTGTTTACAGGTCTTCCGGGACATTTGCACCGTTTGGTTCTACACATCTAGGGTAGTCATGCTTTCCTGGTCCAGAATGGTCATAGCTGTTGTACCAGCTGAAGCTGGTAAAAGGTCCTGTGTGTTTTGACATCTGACATTTGAATGTTTTATCTATTTATTTTAAGAAATGATAGTCACATGTGGCTTGTGGCAAGGAGTGTTAATGTGGATGTAAGCATGCAAGTGATATGTAAGTCATCTCTAAAAACAAGCAAATTTGTGACAACCAGAAATAAGACTTAACTGTTCTTGTTTGATTTTGTTATAATGTAAGCCAGTGGGCACAGGAAGCTGTGACTAATACCCTTTCATTATTTGACTTAATGAGTTATGTAGTCTTAAAGGTCACCTCTTCAAATATGAATATAAATTAATGGGAACACTCCAGAGAAATTGGAACTTCTGAACAAGCCACATTGATTTTAAGTAGTGGCCTTGCACAAAAGAATTCAGTTCCAAAGACAACAGAAAACAAAAATGCAATGTATCATGTTTGTTAGCAAGATTCTATCCATTTCCTTTAAGAAATTGAAGAAATAACTGAGTGACATTACCAGATATGGAAAAAAGGATAAAACACAATTTTAAAACTACATACTGTTTTTGGAAATGGCAGAAGATGTTAAACCTTCCTAGCCACCATTCACTGTTGTTGGGCTTCTGCCAGTCTCTCTTACTTTGCTTTTTGCAATGGTGGCAGCTCTGTTGTGATATGAAAGCATATTGTGATGTGATTGCTATTGGAAGGTAATGAAGGCACAGTAGGGGTGTGGGGGCGTGGCCTCATTGAGTGAGACTGATAGGCTCTAGGAGATGGCTGGACCAATCACATACCTGTTCTTCTAATGCAACAGTATATATTGGTGACATCCAATTATGTCTGCCCACTTGCTCAATCAAAATCTTCATGTATAGCAACACTCAAGGTTTCTCCAGCAGTCCCAACATACCCAAAACCTGATCTGTAGGGTCCCCCAACCCTTGTGGGGTTAAAGACAATAAGGCACAAGTTCCTCAGACTTAATATCTGTAGTTTTAGCTTTAAATATGAATCCAGGTCCAGATCTTTATGAAAATTTTATGCAGATAAACTATTGCCTTAGAATCTCATCAATTTGGATGAAAAATCCTCTGCAGAAGTAATGCATAACTAAATAATTAACAGTAGTCAGAACTCTTATATTTGAACCAGACGGGGAACAATAAGGATTAAACTACCGGTACCTACTGACTCCTGTGGGAAGTATAACTAAGCTCAAGTATGACATGTAATAAATGTATGCAGATATGAAGGACTGGGCTACTTTACAAATGGACACGTATCCTTCTGATGTGAGAATCTTAGTTTACCAAATGACCATATTTGAATTCATACAATAAGTCCAAACCCATCAAGGAACCATGACGGGGGCAATCTGTCAGCATTCCGTGATGTGCCCAGAGATGAGTCTTAGCACTGCCAGAATGGAGATAATTGTCATCTGTGGCAGTGATTAATACACCTATGTTCTCTACAGCCCCTGAAAGTTGGAAATGGTTTGAGAGACCTTGTGCAAGATAGATGTACATAAATGGAACAAAACTAAAGAAAACAAAACATGAAGGAATCTTTGAAAAACCTTATTAATTGTGAATGCTACCTATTTATGACAATCTTTAATCTGTAGTAGCGTGAACATATGTAGTGTTGCCATTTTACCAGGGTTGAAGTTTCTGATGTATTGCCTATATATTAATGATATATTGATTAATATATCATTGATTAATGATATATTGCCTAGATACCACCTCCCCTCTTTTCCATTCCATACTGGAGTGTGGTGAAATTACTGTAAAAATTAATAATATTAAATTGTCAGGCTGGGCCCCCAGTGCACTGTGTAATAGGTCTAATATATCTACCTTTACCTCACAATTGTGAAGAGAAAATTGGAAAATTCGTATTTATAAGGGAAGTATTTTAAGCGACGTGTATAGTGTAAGGAGATGTGTACAGTGTAAAATCTTGGTGGAAGAATGCCACATAGCAAGACATTCAACAGTCTAAAACCCTTGCTTAATGCAACTGTGAAACTTGGTGAAAGAATGCCACATAGCAGGCTTTAAACAGCCATTTGCTCCATGGCCTGTAGCAGGTAACTAAGTAACTAGGCAAAAACATTTTATGAAACTTATGTATTTTGTACTGTGCAGAGGAAGACTATCATGGACTTCTGTGGATTTATTTGCAAAGTTGGCTTAAAGTGTCACCTGCAGAAATTATGGCAGTGTAGTTAATAGATCTGCAAGTTAAAGTTAGGAAGCCTGAAAACAAATCTTCCCTTGAACAAATGTGTTTCAAACAGTAGTTTTGGAAATTGATTGCTGTTATTAGGATAAGAGCTTTGTAGAGTTTACAAACAGGTTTAGAAATTTAAAAAAGAAAAGAAAAGCTAGAGCAGGTTTGCAAGATGAGATAGGTGCATTTAAAGTATCATTATGTTCAAAATGATCAAAACTTGCTCAAAATGTGGAATTTATCTAATGACTACATCATTTTACTCTAGGATGATGAAGTCCTCTTTGCATGCAGAAGAGGATGATTTTGTGCCAGAACTTCAGAGAAGCATTCATCCCCGTGAAAGACCAGATTGGGAAGAGACTCTCAGTGCAATGGTAAAGTTTCACTTCCTTTTATGCATTGTTGTCTGTAGTCCTTGAAATGCTGTCCACTGGTTTATAGAGTGTAGGTTCCTGCCTCCCCTGCCCCACCCCCCAAAAATCATCCCACTTAGACCATATTTATAAAATTGAGTATTGTGCAACACATTACATTCTTTGGATATATACCAATAGTGAGAAGGAGATGATGATGATGCCTGGTGATTCTATTCCATGAATACATGCCTTGAAGCATGCCTAGTGATCGTTTAAATGTTCCATAATGTTGCAATGATTTTCAATTTGCATTAAGCTCTCTTTCAGCTAGGATCCATAACGTGTGATCTTTCCCCCTTCTTTCTAGTGGAAAATGGTCATTGAAACATAACTTACGTAAAAATGATTAACAAGATTAATCTGGTCTGAGTTCCCTTAAAACTCACCAATCGGAAAGCTTACATTATTAAAATTTCTCCCTCGCTCATATGTTTAATTCACAAGCAGCATTTGGAAAATGTGAAAAGTGAGGGATGAAGGTTCTTTAAAGTCCATTTTTAGTGTATGTTTTGCTTTGCCAGGGAAACAAAAAAAAAGGTGTGAATGCTGAGCACTGCTTGTTTCCCATAGCAGTAGCTGTTCTACTTTTCTCCTTGGGCTCAATGGTAAAAAGAGCTTGCCACATGCTGAAGTGAGGGGCACCCCTACCGTTCTAGCTCTGTTCTGTAGTTAGGTAAAGGTAAAGGGACCCCTGACCGTTAAGTCTAGTCGCGGATGACTCTGGGGTTGTGGCGCTCATCTCGCTTCACTGGCCGAGGGAGCCGGCATTTGCCCGCAGACAGCTGATAGTTTGTTTCTCTAAATTTAAAAAATGTGAATATATTTGTTGCTTCCTGTGGCTCACTTGAGATGCTTGCTTTAACAAGCACCTTGTGGGTATTAAGCTAATGCTTTTGGGCAGGGCAATGGAAGATCTGGAATTATTTAAGAATGTTTATAACCCACTGTCTATATAAAGTTTATATATAATGTTTCTATGAAGAAAAATCTCTCACCTACACGCTGCTTAATTGTATACATGTGAGTGAACCACACCAAAGCCCCAAGGCCACAAAGGTAACGTTGGTGCTGTAGATCTAGCAATTATGGTTACTTCCAGATGACCTGTTGGTTGACCATTTATCTTGACTCATCTGCATAATGATTACAAGGAGTTAGATGTTGACTATTGAATGCTCATTCTGATTTTCTAATGGCAAGGTAACATGGCCTTGCATCAAGCAGTTGTTATAACCGTACTTCCTAGCACATTTTCTTGTCAATTTACTGTATTTTTCGCACGATTGGTCGCACTGGACCATAGGACGCACCTAGTTTTTTTGGGGGGAAATAAAGGGAAAAAAAATTCCCTTTATTTCCCCCCCAAAAGCAGGTCAGGGAAACCGAACCAGGTCAAGGAACAGCGGGATAGTGGCGCTGCGCCTCCCTGCTGTCCCCCGAGCTTGTGGGGCTGGCTGATGTCTGCCTAGCGCGTGGGGCGCTCTGCTTCAGGGCACCCCACCCGCCGGGCGGCAGGCTGCTATCTGCAGCTTGGGGAGCCTTGCGGGGAACTGCTGCAGGGCTCCCCACGCTGCGGATGTATGCCTGGCGCGAGGGGCGCTCTGCTTCAGGGCGCCCCACCCGCCGGGCGGCAGGCTGCTATCCGCAGCTTGGGGAGCCTTGCGGGGAACTGCTGCAGGGCTCCCCACGCTGCGGATGTATGCCTGGCGCGAGGGGCGCTCTGCTTCAGGGCGCCCCACCCGCCGGGCGGCAGGCTGCTATCCGCAGCTTGGGGAGCCTTGCGGGGAACTGCTGCAGGGCTCCCCACGCTGCGGATGTATGCCTGGCGCGAGGGGCGCTCTGCTTCAGGGCGCCCCACCCGCCGGGCGGCAGGCTGCTATCCGCAGCTTGGGGAGCCTTGCGGGGAACTGCTGCAGGGCTCCCCACGCTGCGGATGTATGCCTGGCGCGAGGGGCGCTCTGCTTCAGGGCGCCTCACCCGCCGGGCGGCAGGCTGCTATCCGCAGCGTGGGGAGCCTTGTGGGGAACTCCTGCAAGGGCTCTCCACGCTGCGGATGTGTTCCCGAAGCGCCGGGCGCTCTGCTTTCAGGGCGCCCGACGCTCCGGGAAGCAGGCTGCTATCCGCAGCGTGGGGAGCCCTGTGGGGAACTGCTGCAGGGCTCCGCACGCTGCGGATGTCTGCCCGGCGCGAGGGGCGCTCTGCTTCAGGGCGCCACTCGCGCCGGGCGGCAGGCTGCTATCCGCAGCGTGGGGAGCCTTGCGGGGAACTCCTGCAAGGGTCCCCAGGCTGCGGATGTGTTCCCGAAGCGCCGGGCGCTCTGCTTTCAGGGTGCCCGACGCTCCGGGAAGCAGGCTCCAGTGCTAGTCCTAGTCTGAGTAGACCCATTGAAATTAATAAACATGGCTAGCTTGGCACCATTATTTTCAGTGGGTTAACTCTAAGTAGAAGTTGGTTGGCTATGCCCCCCCTGTTGATGTTTTTTTTTTAAGGAGTGGAGGTGGGGAACTGGTTTGTTGTGCAAGAACACTTAACTGACTTTCTGTGTACAGCCTGAATTTGCCAGTTTATGACTGAGTTACACTTGAAAAGGGTAACTCTCTAGAAATGCCCAGAATCGTGTAATTGAAGTTTTCAAGGTCAATACCGCCACTGTAGATCTGAGTAAAAAGCGAGGCTATCCTATCCTATTCCAGGATCAATACTTGGGATGGAAACAGTATTCTAGCAACTTAAGGAACTTAAGGAGTTTTATTTTGTCAAAATGTTTCCCACTTTTCTGTGTTCTTGGTGTTCAGCGACCATTAGGAGAAACCCAGATGAACTCCGAGGCATTTCTCAGAGAGGGCCAACTACAGCACTTTTTGTTTGATTGTTTATATGTTCTTGTTTTATTATGAGTCTGTTATTCCTTTTATTGAAGATTAAATTAAAAATTAAAGCGTTATTTTCACCTTTATTAAGAAAATCACTGTACAGTGGTACGTCGGGTTACAAACACTTTGGGTTACAGACTCCGCTAACCTGGAAGTAGTACCTCGGGTTAAGAACTTTACCTCAGGATGAGAACAGAAATTGTGCGGCGGCAGCGGGAGGCCCATTAGCTAAAGTGGTACCTCAGGTTAAAAATGGACCTCTGGAACGAATTAAGTTCGTAACGAGAGGTACTACTGTATTTGAACTAGAACATTTTCATTGCTATTCTGCATCATTCCTACAATCTCTTTATTGCAATGATGGGAACTGCTTTCTAGAGGCTGTTGCAGAAGAACAGTCCATTTTCTCCACCAGGAAGGCTGCACTACACATAAATTTACACTGTCTCAAAGTACCCATCTGTTGGCACTGATAGAAAGTAGGAGAGATTATTTGCTGTAGCGTGGCTTTATGATGTGGTAATAGGACTGAACCTTCTAAACCAGTTTGTCTTCCTGGCTAAAGCACACCCTTCGCTATTTGTTCACAAAATCCCTCCTAGCTAGTTTAGTGAATTGAATGTAATTCTTTTCCAGTGCAAGATATATTATTTGCTAGGCAATAGATTTCAATTGTTGTAATCAATTGTCATTACACTGTAACTCCCACAAACAAAACAACAACAAAACAAGTAAATCCAAAAGTATGTTAAACATTTGATTTTTCAGAAATGCAGATAATCAAAACTTAAAATTCTGAAGTTCTTCACATCATTTGGATTAAAAAATCTCATTGACTGTTGACAGTATTTGGGGTCAAAAAACATAAAAAGTAGCTTTCGCACTGTTTTTGTATTTAAATCCCAGGCAACAGTCCTGTTTATGTCACCTCATGGAGAAATGCACAAACTCAGTTCTAGTTAAAAGATGCCATTTGGAGAATCTTACTCAAGGAACCAGTTAATTAGAAAAAATGACATAACTAAAGTGTTGATAGGAAAGGCACCCAAGCTGCCCCTCTCTCTTAACTAGTAAGCAGGTACATTATTTTTTTATATTTATACTAGTCTAGGAATTTTAGTTCTTCTTTTAGAAATAGATTTCGGTATAGCTATTATTGTCTTTGTTAATATATACCGCAGAGGAATGTTTTTATGGAGGCTTTCTGTTCTCTTTCTGTGCTCTTAGTGTTAAAATTTCCAAGCTTATTCCTTGTTCTGTTGTCCGCTCATGTGACTTCAGGCAGGTGTTCCTGGTATCCTTGCAAAGATTGAGCGCAGTTAAGTCAAAAGGCTGGAGCTAAATAAATCTAGGATGGATCATGATGAAAGGCATCAGGTTGAGGAAGTCCATAACACCACAGGAAAAGTATAGGGTATATATTAGTTTGGCATGCCTCTCCAGTCTTCTATTGTGTTTCAAAAAAGGAAGTATGATCTGAAGTCAATATCCCTTTTGAGATAGAGGCAATAATTATTTTATTTTTCATTTACCGTGGACTTTCACCTAAAGCTCCTAAAGTGATGTACAGAAAACCCAACACATTTGTTTGTTGTTCAGCAGAAATAAGTAGGAGTCCTGTAAATAACAGTTGTGATTGAGAGTCAGATGTACAGTGGTACCACGGGTTAAGTACTTAATTCGTTCTGGAGGTCTGTACTTAACCTGAAACTGTTCTTAACCTGAAACACCACTTTAGCTAATGGGGCCTCCTGCTGCTGTCACGCCGCCGGAGCACGATTTCTGTTCTCATCCTGAAACAAAGTTCTTAACCTGAAGCAATATTTCTGGATTAGCGGAGTCTGTAACCTGAAGCGTATGTAACCTGAAGCGTATGTAACCCGAGGTATCACTGTACTCCATAGGAGGGACATGGTTGCATCTGCACAGTACCTCTCTCTCTTTGTGTGTTTCTGGTAGGCTATATAGTCCGTTAGTTAAGACAGTTCTTCATAAGGAAATATGGGCAGTGACTATCAAAGCCTGAGAGCCATGTCCAACTTCTGAAGTTTTTGGATATTCATATTCTTATATTAGGAAACTATA